GGACTTCATAAAAAGGAGAACACTTACCCCATCTGCATCAGTGGAACTGAGGTTGCGAGAGTGGAGAACGTCAAGTTCCTTGGAGGAAAGATAACCAACAGCCTTTCCTGGACTTCTCACATAGATGCAACAGTCAAGGATGCACCACAACGCTGCCTCTTCCTCAGGCAGCTCAGGAAATTTGGCGTGCCCATAAAGTCCCTCACCAACTTCTACAGATGCGCCATTGAAAGCATACAGTCTGGGTGCATAACGGCCTGGTATGGCAACTGCTCTGCCCAGTACGGTAAGAAACTACAGAAGGTGGTGTGCACAGCCCAAACCATCACGGAAGCCAACCTTCCATTCATGGACTCCATTTACACTACTCACTGCTGTGGAAAGGCAGTCAACATCATCAAAAACCCATCGCAGCCCAGTAATGATCTTCTACAACTCTTCTGTCAGGCAGAAAATACAGAAGCCTGAATACCTGCACGAGCAGGTTCAGGAACAGGTTCTTTCCAGCTGTTATTAAACTGATGAATGAACTCCCTAGTCTGAAATAATGCTGATCTGGCTAACGTTGATCTCACCTAGCGCACACCCTGTGCAATGTGACCTAATGCCTCTGAATAAGTTTTTTTTTTGATCTGTGCATCCTTGCTTACTATGATCTGCCTGTACTGCTCGTAAACAAAGCTTTTCACGATACTTCGGTACATGTGACAATAAATCAATCAATCAATCAAATTGGACTCAAAAGTCTCAAACATTCACAAAGTATGTCGTGTGCATTAGATTTCATAATAATTAAATAGCATGTTTAATTTGGGTAAATGTCAGCCTTCAGTTTTACATCAGGATGAGTATCTACATTAGCCTTAAGAATTTTGAGCCAACTGTGGAGTATTGTGTGTGGATCATGATGCTGGCGCATCAAGTAATTGAGAGAAGTCAAATTGCTTAAAAAGTGTAAAGGCAGAGTCATTAGCTGCTCGGGCATGTGTTATGCTATGAGTAACTATACAACATATACTAACATAGAATGACTTATTCATGGGTAATGAATAATTCGGCTATTCCAATATCCACCAACTTGGAGACTTATGCACTTCATTGGGAGTTCAGTAGTGGCAGTAACAGAACCTTCAGCAGAAAATACAACATAAAAGAACTTGCTATTAAAATTCGTATAATGGTCCTGTACTTGATTCCTGGTTCACCAAATGCTAACGTTGAAAGTGTGCTAAGTGACCCAGCACTAAATCTTGCAGTACTGCACTTTCAAACCTCCATCATTCAAGGAACAGTTATATGCCTGAAACACTTAACATTTGAGCTATAGACCATCCATCAGAATTGAAATAACTATAGCTGAGTTGGATTTAAAAAGGAATGGAACAAGGGAAGGAAAGAATGCCCTGCTACTTGCTGAAAACACATATGGAATTTGTAACTTCTGAAGTTTCGATCAGTTGATGATTCTAATAGTTGGCCACAAATACCAAATGCCCATTTTCATTAACTGGTCTGCCAGTACCCAGTTTGTCCTTCTGTCACTTCTTTTAAAATCTGTTACATTAGCTGTTCCCATGGCAACTGATACATTTGATGTATTTAAAGAGAATTGAAAAATGGTGACCTTTATCTCCTCTCTTGACAACTTTCAGCAGTCTAGTATCCCTGCTGTTGGTGCCAGGTGACTCACTCATCTTGAGTTATGCTTTTCTTTTAAAGAACCAGTTATTTTTCTGCCATAATCTATCAATTGCTGTGTATCTTCCATTAGTGGACCTGCACACTCAATTCCACCACAAGTTGTAACAGCTAACAAAAAATAAATTTAATATTTCTGCCATGCCTTTAAGCCTGCACAAGTTAGCTCCCTTTTTCATCTCTGAGCCTTATATTTAACTATTATTTTGCTTTACACTAGTATCTAAAAGCTTATTAATCAACCTTCCTATTCAATTTTAGCTCCTTTTGGTCTTATTAAAATTTCCGTGGTCTGCAACATGTTCTTTATTGTTGTTAGCCTGCACTTCATATGCCTCCTTTTTGAAGTTTTAATCTGTCCATTTATCCATGGAGTTCTATTCTCAGTCGGCTAGTTAGCTGGTTTGTGATGCAGTGTGATGCCAACCCAGAATGTGGGTTCAATTCCTGCAGTAACTGAGGTTACCGTGAAGGATTGTCCTTCTCAGCCTCTCCCCCTCGCCTGAGGTATGGCAACCCTCAGGTTAAACCACCACCTGTTGTCTCTGTCTAATGAGAGAGCAGTCCTATTCTTCGAAGTACTAGTTTGCTTTATTAGACTATATCTACTTTGCATTCAATCTGTCAATATATTTGAGAATTTCCTACTGCAAATCTGTTTAGTTTTGCTACCCACTAAATTTGGGCCAGTTTGTTTGATGCTGAAATCTGACATTTTTTCCTTGACTTTTCATTTGCCATTTTCCATCATTGCTGTGGGGTGTTACAGCAGTAGTATTTCTCACCAGCAGGTGGTGATATGTTATACATCATTTTAAAGATTACGCTCAGATTTTCTGGAAACAAAACCCATTCTGAGTAATCAACGCCTTACATCATTATATGTATGGTCTTGTCCCTCTTCGTTTCTTATGTCATCCTGCCCACAATCCTCTGATATTTTTTCCTCTAGTTCTGACTATTTGAACATCCAAAATTTTAATCACACTGCCTTTGGTGGACATGCCTTCAGCTGCCTAGGCACCAGGCTCTGGTATATCCTCCATAAACCTCCCCACTTCTTTACCTCACTTTATTTTTTTTTATAGTTCAGTTTACAATTGATCTTTATGTCCAAAGGTTTCCCTTTACAGAATCAATGGTATATTTTAACTTTTAATTCCCCTGTGGAGCATCTTGAAACAACTCATTATGTTGAAAGATTCTGCGTAATTCAAGTTGTCATTCACCGACGATCCAGATGCCTAGTTACGGTCGTTGTTGTACCGTTATCGTGCACAGCCATCAACCTAGTGGTAAAAGATAGTAAAATGAAACCTTGCATGCGCGTTTCCAACCAATTGTGCACATCCTGTTCCAGCAAAAGCTATTCATATAGCACCATCCTCCCTGGCTTCTCTCTACTGTTCTGTGGTGGAGTGAAAGTGTGATACTGGGCTTTTGCAATTTATGCATATCCTTTCCAGCAAATCTGGGTATGACTCTCCTCTCCCTCCAACTGCAGGGAAAAAAAAATCCAGAGCAAGAAGCAGGTTCCCAGTTTTCCTAAAATACCCTGAAGGAATTGAGCTTCAGGCGATCTGAAATTAAGAAGAAGAAACAGCATTATAAATTTCATTATAATTATATTTCATTATAAATTTAGTTGGAATAAGTAAACTTTGGCAGACCTGGAGGAACCTCTCAAGCCATTTGTTTAAAAACAGAAGATGTCAGCATAAAGCACATTTCAAAGGATTGTTTCTTGTTGTGAGAATGCTACAATTCTACTTTTGTAACTACATTATTCAACCAAATAATCTTTTATAATATATTGCAATTTAGTACAGACAGACCAGAGGTATAATGACTGAATGTTTTAAAAAAAGCAAATGCAAAATATTGCAGATGCTGGAGGTCTGAAATAAAACAGATGCACCCTTATCAGATTATTTCCAGTTTTTTTTATTTCATTTGATTCATATGAAAATTACTCTAACCCCGAGATTGCCAGTATAGCTAAAGGGAAAACTTGGATGAATTATTGCCTTTTAAACAAAAAACTGCATGAGCTAGTGTTTAGCTAGTTACCTCCTAATAAAAAAAAAACTTAATTTTAGGTAGACAGTACCCTGCTTAAAATTTGAAAAATAACTTAAACAATGTATGAGCTATGAAGAATGGTGTACACCTGACAATGACATTGTAGAAATCATGTGTTTCCAATGTGGGAATAAATAGCCTATGAAGCTGGTGACTGGGGTGGCACAGTGGCTCTGTGGTTAGCACTGCTACCTCACAGTGCTAGGGACCTGGGTTTGATCCCATTATCAGGCAACGATCTGTACGGAGTTTGCACATTCTCCCCGTGTCTGTGTGGTTTTCCTCCAGGTGCTCTCGTTTCCTCCCATAGATGTACAGTTTAGATGGATTAACAGTCCGAAATGTAGGGTTACAGGGATAGGGTGGGAGTGGGTCTGGATGCTCTTCAGATGGGTGGTGTGGACCTGATTTGCTTAATTTGCTTGATTTGCTTCCACACCCTTGGGATTCTATGATTCTAAATTGTCACAAAAGGTTTTGCCTTTTTTTTTTGATCATTTAATACTCAGTCACTGAAATTTGTGTGAAAGTGAAATTGAAAGAGGAGTGTTGTGGAACATGGGAAATGGAAGGAGTAGGCCATTTGGCTCCTCAAGCCTACTCCACCATTCAGCTAGATCTTGGCTAATCTGTTATCTCATCACCATTTTTATGCCGTATCCCCAGATCATTTGATATCTTTAATACCTAGAAATGTATTGATGTCTGTCTTTGTGTTCGATGAGTTTCCAAAGTACCGTGGGGAAGAGAATTCCAAAGACACTCCACCTTCTGAATGGAGAAATTCCTCCTGACTTTAGTCCAAAATGGTCTACCCCTCATTTGCTGATTGTGTCCCTGGTTCAAAACTGCTAGTCAAGAAAGTATGTCTGCGTCAACTCTGTCCAGTTCTGTAAAATAGAATGTTTCAATTGGATAACTTCTCATTCTTCCTAAGTTTTAGTGAGCATAGGCTGGTGTCCGCGAACTCTCCTCCTAGGACGAGCCTGCTATCGCAGAAAGCAGTCTGGTGAATCTTTGCTGCACTCCCTCTCTGCCCAGGAAATCCTCCCTTGAATTGTAGAATTGCACACAATAGTGCAGTCTCATTAAGATACCGTGCAGTTGCAGCAAGGTGTCTTTACTCTCATCCTCTTTCAATAAATCCCAGCATGCCATTTATGTGGTTTTGTACGGTTAGCAGTCAGCTATAATAATCAATACCATTATTTTAATTCCAGCTGAGAGTTTAACGAAGAAGAATGGCAGATGACGGGAAGTCTGAAGGAAGTGCAGCACAGTGGACGTCAGGCACTGTCCTCGAGGCTGCTTCACATCAGTTTGCTACAGATTTTGAAGAGCAGAGTGCTTCAGGTGAATGTATATCCAGAACAGAGAATGGCTACTCGTTCAGAGACAACCTCGCAGAGGCACAGGATGGAGGTCAGGCAGCCTACACAGTGTCACAAGCTAATGGGGTCAATGGGAAATTGACTGCTAAAGATGGAGCAACAGCAGGTAAAACAAGTTCCGTTCCTTTCATCTTCTATAATGTATAATAAATAATACGGTGCCCTGTTATCAGCAATACAGAAACAATGAGGCATCTCCTTTTATTGAAGTACAGTGTTCTTAATTGGGAAGTACACACATTAACTAGCCGTCATTATGTTTACACATCAATGACTGGAGTATGGAATCTGTTGAAGGGTATTACATTACAACTGGGGCATACCTATATAGCACAGTATTGACATGGATGTTCATTCAGTGGTGAAGCAAGAGATGTTCATCACTGATCTCAAAGTATACCTTGCTGAGCAACCTCACCATTTCTGCGGCAACAGTTTGATCTCTCTTTTCCTGCAATTGCCCTGTAACCAATTGCGGAATTCTTTACTGGAGATTTCCTGTGTACAACTGCAATAATGTCATTAGGCTGTTCAAGCCACTGACTGGAAAGGTAGAGTGACAGCTGGGGAGGGGATAGGGTGCTAGGATGCCAGTAAGTGGGATGCAGGGATAGTTTTACTGGGTTTATAGTTAATCTGGCCATAGCTCATAATCCAGGGTCAATTAGAAACGTGTATACACTGGCTCTTGGGCAACCTTGGAATTGCTGGCTTAGAAACCTGTGCTAAGAAATGCGCTATTCTCAGGAGTTGCATATTAAGTGGACGTTCTGTTTTAAACTTACTGAGATGCTAAATGCTTTCAACATTCATTTGCAGAAGTGCAGCATGCCACAAAAGGAAACCAATTCATGTTTTAAGTTACAATTATGTGATATCTGAGCATAGAAGCCTAAGGCTGCTTCAATACTTCCTGATTGCAGGCTTAGTTGAGAATACCATGAAGAGGTAGAAACAGAGCAAACAAGCAAGCAACCCCCTCCTGTACCCCCCCCCCCCCCCCCCGCCGCCAATCCTCCCGCCGCCAACCCTCCCCACCACGATCCCAACCCCATTTCCTGCTTCTCTTTCATGCACGTTCACATCTTGTATCTCTGCTCCTTATTACAAATTGAATCTGCTCCCCTTGTTCAGTGATGTGTGTGGTGTCACTCATTTGTATGAGTAAACTGGTTACCCCTGCTGCATGTATTTTCTAGTGTAGTAGTAGGATCCAACCCAGAAGTTTAGTGTGGTGCAGATTTCCTTGTCTGAAATCCATGTAATCCTTTTGTTCATCGGATGATAGACCAAATTCATGAGGTAAAATGGTAGTTGGTTTTTAAGCTGCCTTAAAGGCAAAATATAATGCACACCAAACAATGAAGGATTCAATGCACACGGAATACGACGAAGGCCATTTCGTCCACCTAGTTCTCCCCATCTATGCAAACTATTATAAAAAGAAGGCATGCATGTACCTGTATTACCCCTAACCCACGTGCTTTAACTTTGTCCACAAGCCTCTTATGAGGGACCTTACCAAAAGCCTTTTGAAAATGCAACTACACTGCATCCAGTGGTTTTCCCTTATTGATTCTACTAGTTACACCCTCAAAAAACGCTAGTAAATTCGTTAAGCATGATTTGCCTTTCATAAACCTCTGCTGATTTTGTCCAATCTCGTTAATGCTTTCCAAATGTTCTGTTATCATGGCTTATTATAATATGCTCCAATGAAAATTTGATAAATGGAAATAAATAAACTACTTGATATAGTCATAGCTTACTTCATACTGCAATATTATTTTCAGTTCTGCCTCAATGTTTCCATGACTACAGCATGTATTGCAGATTCTTGGCACAGCTACAGTAGGGCGAAGAGAAAGAAAGCGTACTCGGATTGACTCATTAATATTCAGGTTTTTGTATGTACAAAACAGCCCTGATTCTGCCTTTTTTAAAATCGTCCATTACAATGGCGTCTTCGTGAGTTTCATTACTGCTGTATCGGCCTGTGCAGCTGTTGATTTCTTTTCCCTCAATGTATTTTAGCCATATTCTGCGAAGTAAGTAAAACATCATTTTCTATCTTGTACGAGAATTGTATACTGAGTTGGTTTATAGTGCCATTATTGCTGCAAGGTTCTTTTTAGCGTAATATGCTTTTTTAAAAAAGAATACTCATGATTTATATGCAAGTTATTATTCTGATTTGATATATGTGATACAAGGTTACTTAGTCTGTTGCATACTGTTTCTTTGGGAAAGAAAAAGGCTTTAATCATTTCAATTTTGAATGGTCTATTTGTCCTGATCAGCACAGTCATTCTTTAAAATAAAACTATATTTTGATGATGGGGTGTTTTTGTTTTAAGTGGAATGATGCTGGTGAATTTACAGTGAATAAAATTTACCAGGGGTGAAGTGAAGGATTAGAACGGACAAAGAAAATGAATCGGACATTTCAGCATGGATCTGGCCATATGATTCAATATGGCTCTATGGTACCAGCTACAATTGAGCTACCTCGTCTAATACCATCTCCTTACTTTATCCTTGTAACCATTCAATGTTTTTCTTGTGCAAACATTTAGCAAATTCTCTCTGAAACAATAGACGTCTAAACATAGCCAATAGAAAAATGAAGTTAATTGCCTTATGTTCCAAATACATGTTAGTGTCCATAGCATTTCCAGAGCTGGTTTTGTCACATACATGCAGTGTCAGTACAAAAGACACAGTTTTATCATTTTGTCTAGACTTAGATAAATATAGGGAAACCAGCAGGTTCATTGCCATTGTTTCTAATAGGCTGAAATTACAGTTGTTTGTTAATTTTGGTACAGAAATATTTCAAATTGTACTTATTAATATTTGATAGCATAGGTCAAAATTCATTTGCATTCTAAGAAGGAAACTATAAGTTAGAAACCAATCTCACATTAGATCTAGGTGAACATTTTGTTGTCTGTCATAAAATTTGATGGCACATTCAAAATCTTTTGTTTTTGCCCTGATATAGTTTTCTCTTTTAATATAGCATTTTAAAGTATAAATCAGTCTTTATTTAGAAACCTACTAGCCTATAGGCATATGACATTTAAATATGAGGCTTAATATTTTCCCAGGTAACAAGCTGTTTTTGAAGAAATCTCAGATGGTCAAAATTCTAGAAATTTCCCACGAGTTGCAGTCTGCAACACAAAGCAAAAATGTTTCAAATGGTTGCAGTTCAATATCACCTATTTTTAAGTATTTCGAAGCAGGATGAAAAGCAAACCAAAATAGTTCATTGTGGCGCTCTCCTATGGTAAAATAATTGTGCACACAAAGCATCGCTGGCACAGAAATGGTCTTCGGGTTTCCCTGGCATTGCAAAAATGCTGCAACACAGAAGAAGGTCATTTAGCCCATTGGGTCTGCACTGGCTGTCTGACTGAGTGCCATTTGCTGCATTGTCCCTGTAACCTTATATACTTATGCTTTTCGGATAACAAGCCAGCACGGCAACTCAGTGATTAGCACTGTTGCCTCACAGCACCAGGGACCCGTGTTCAAATCTACCTCCAGGTCTCTGTGGAGTTTGCACGTTCTCCCCATGTCTTCTCCCCATTTCCTCCGGGTGCTCCAGTTTCCTCCCATAGTCCAAAGATGTTCAGGTTAGGTGTATTGACGGTGCTAAATTGCCCATAGTGTCCAGGGATGTGCAGGCTAGGTGGATTGGCCATGGGGAAAAATGCAGCGTTACAAGGAAAGGGTAGGTTGTGGGTCTGGGAAGGATGCTGTTCGGAGGATCGGTATGGACTCGATGGGCCGAAAAGCCTGCTTCCATGCTGCTGGTCTTATGATTCTATAATAGTCTAACTCCTGTCTGAATGCTTCAATTGACCCACAACACAGTGTATTCTAGACCATAACCACTCGCTGCATGAAAATGTTTCTTCTCATATTGCTTTTGCTCTTTTTACCAATTACTTTGTCTAATCCTTCATCTGTTCATTAATGGAAAAGGCTGTCTACTGTGTCTTGAACCTCCCAACCCACCTCGACTCCCCAAAGATTTTGAATAACACAATAATATCTCCTCTCAATCTTCTCCAAAGGAAGCAATCCTAACTTCTCCAATCTACCTTGACACCTGAAGTTCCTCAACCCTGGAACCTTGTGAATATTTTCTGCACCCTCTCATACTCACTAAAGTGCATCATGCAGAGCTGGACACAGTACTCCAGCTGAAGCTGAATTAATGTCCTATGAAAGTTCAACATAACCTCCTTGCTCCCTATCCCTATTGATAAAGCCTTGGATACCATACACTTTGAGCCACTCTCAACCTGTGCTACTGCCTTCACCAGTTCTGCCTGCTGCTGTGAGCCTTTAGGATTATGCCGTTTAGTTTATACTGTATGTCTATGTTCTTTCTACCAAAATGAATCACATTTCTCCACGTTGAGCATTGTGTGTCACATGATCACCCATTCCAACTTGCCCCTGACCCTTTCAAATTCTACATTATCCTACTGACCATCATTATCCTATTTCCAAGTGTTGTATCATTTACAAACCTTGAAATTGTGCTCTCTACACCAAAGTCAAGGTCATTAATACAAATCAAGATCATTAAGGCTCCCAGCACTGACCCCTGGCAAACTCTACTACAAAAACATCTATTAATGACTACTGTCTGCTCCACATCTACGTAGTCACCATCCCATTTTTTTCTGTAGCTATAATGTGTCTGTTTGACACTGCGTCAAATCTTTGGAAATCAATGTACACCATATCAACACGTTGGTCTTGTTCAACCTCTCTGCTGCATCTTTTAAAAAGGTCCAGTGAGTCAGGGTAACATGATATTCCCTGAAAGTTTCAAGCTGATTTTCTTTAATTAGCCCATCATTTGTGGCTATTAAATTTGTCCCCGGTTATTGTTTCTAGAAGCTCCAAAACCCCACTTCTTTACCCCACTTTACCCCACTTTCCCCCCAACCCATCCCCAACCCCCCCCCCCACCCTGATAGTTAGAGACTAGTTGGTCTTTTCTCTACTTTATATCTAAACAAGGATTCAACATTTGCAACGTTTCAGCCCAAATAACCAGGGATCCAGGGCAAAGGAAGCCAG